GTTGGCTCTTATGAAGAAAATGCTTTGAAATGTACATCTTTTGGTACATGTAGGACTCTACTTCCATAGGGGATACATATATGCCTGGGTGTGGAGCCTCCCAGGTCATTGAGAATGTGCATCTCCAAAAGTAATGCTGTTTTTATTCCTTTTTCCAAAGTGTTGTACCAGCAGAGTGTGAGATTCCCCATTGTTCTGCATCTTCATGAACACTGGCATAAAAGGCTCTGCTAACTTTGCCAGTCCAGGGTCGCCTGGGGCTGGCTCAGTCGGTGAAGTGTGCGACTCTTGATCTCGGGGTTGTAAATTCTTTTTGTTTTTAATTTTTTTTAATGTTTTATTTCTTTCTGAGAGAGAAAGAGATACAGTGTGAGCAGGGGAGGGAGGGTCAGAGAGAGAGGGAGACACAGAATGTGAAACAGACTGCAGGCTCTGAGCTCGTTGTCAGCACAGAGCCCAATGCAGGGCTCGAACCCACAAACTGAGATCATGACCTGAGCCGAAGTTGGACGCTTAACCGACTGAGCCACCCAGGTGCCCCTCAGGGTTGTAAATTCAAGCCCCAAGTTGGGTGTACAGATTACTAAAAAATAAAATCTTAAAGTTTTTTTAATTCAGTGGGTTATGGTAGTATCTCCTGGTTTCAGTGTGCATTTCTGTGATTATAATATGGTCATGTGCTTTTCCATGTTATTTGCCATTTAGATTTCCTCTTTTGTGCAGTGCCTGTTTTGAGTGTTTACCCATTTTTCCAATAGATTCTATTTATTATTATTATTATTATTATTGAGTTTTCCTTCTCTTTTTAAGTTTGTTTATTTTGAGAGAGAGAGAGTGAAAGAGGATGCAAGCATGAGCAGGGGAGGGGCAGAGAGAGAGTCCCAAGGAGGCTCTCCCACTGTCAGCCCAACGTGGGGCCCAATCCCACCACCCTGGGATCATGACCTGAGCCAAAATCAAGAATCAGATAGATGCTCAACCAACTGAGCCACACAGGCACCCTTGCCTTTTTCATTTTTTAAAAAATAGTTTCCCCTTCATTTCAAAGATGAAATATAAAATATAAAAAAGCACCCAAAATGAAAAATAGCTATTATCCCAACTTTTTAGAAATATCCACAGTGTTTTGTTTCCTTAAAATAGGAATTTTGTAAATATTGCTTTTGGGCTTTTTAATTCTTTTTTTTTTTTAAATGTTTTTATTTATTTCTGAGAGAGAGGGAGACAGACAGCATGAGCAGGGGAGGGTCAGAGAGAGAAAGGAGACACAGAATCCAAAACAGGTTCCAGGCTCTGAGCTAGCTGTCAGCAGAGCCCAACTCAGGGCTCAAACCCATGAACCGTGAGATCGTTACCTGAGCCCAGGTTGGACGCTTAACCGACTGAGCCACCCAGGTGCCCCATGGACTTTTTAATTCTTTTTTTAGCTAACCTCTGTACCCAATGTGGGGTTCAAACTCATGACCCCAAGATCAGGAGTCTCACACTCTACTGAGCCAGCTAGGCACCCCACTTTTGGAGATTTTAACACAGCATAAACATTTCTGCAGAACTTGAAAAAAATAAGCATTCCATTTCATTTTAATGTACTGCATAATATCCTACACTCAAACAGCCAGCCTCCTAGTGTTGGACATCCAGGTTATCAGTGTTTGCTCTTGTAATTAATGCTGTGAGGAACATCTTTGTACCGATCTGATTGTTATATATATTTCCTGGGCCAGGACGTAGCATGGCACCTACATCCTGGAGAAGAAAGTGATGTGGATGGGTGACTTTAGACAGAAGTCAGTGGTAGCCATGGAAGATAGGGACAGAGGGAGCAAAGGAGATGGAAGTTACAGGGGGTCAAAGTGACAGGACTCACTGCCCCTAGGCTTATGGCTTCTGCAGCTGGCAGGAGGGATGGTGGTGCCATTCACTTACCTGAGAATACTGGAGAAGAGCCAGAGGGTTGTTGCTGTTGCTTTACTTAATGATAGTTTAGTAGGAAAGATCATTTGATAGTCTTGTTGTGCTGAGTTTGCGGCACCTTTGAGATGCTTATCAAAGTGGTGGTGGATATAGGAGTGAGTCTGGACTGGAGATCCAGATCCAGGGCCTACTGATGCGGAGATGGCGCTAGGAGCCAGAAGCCTGTAGGAAAGGCCTGTGCGGTAGAGAGATGCCCAGACCGAAAGGCTGGCACTCTGCAGGTTACAACTGGCAAAAGCCAGAGTGACTCTCCGTAAGTGCCCAAAGAACCCCATTTGTATTGTCAACCCAGATGGAGCAACAAATGTATATGTTAACTAGAGCAGAATCAGAAAACAGAAAATCAATAGACCAAAATCAACAAAACCAAAAAATGGTCTTTTGGGAAGATCAATAAAATCAAGAAGCCTCTAGCCAAAAAGAGAAGATACAAATTGCTAAGATCAGAAATGAAGAGGGGACATCACTCTAGGTCCCATGGATATCAAAATCAAAACAATAAAAGAATACTGTGTCAATTCTATGCCCACAAATTGATAACCTAGATGAAATGGACCAATTCCTTGGAAAACATAATCTGTCAAAATTCACATTAAGAAGCAGCAATCTGCACAGGCCTATATCTACTTAAGGAATTCAATCAATAATTAATAGCCTTCCAAAACATAAAGCACCAGGCTGGCCCCAGATGGATTCACTGGTGAGTCTACCAAACATTTAAGGAAAAAGTATACCAGTTCCTTATAGTCTTTTTTAGAGGATAGATACAGAAGGACTATCTCCCAACCCATTTTGTGAGGCCAGTATTATCCTAATGCCAAGCATAGGCAAGGGCATTACAAGAGAAGAAAACTACAGATCATAAATCCTCAACAAAATGTTAGAAAATCGAATCCAACAGGGCATAAAAAGAACTGTTTATCAAAACTAAGTGGGATTTGTTCCAGGTGTGCAAGGCTCGTTCAACATTCAAAAATCAATTACTGTACTCTATCACGTCACTAATCCAAAAAAGAAAAAATTACATCATATCAATAGATGCAGAAAAAACATTTGAAAAATTCAACACCCATTCATAGTAAAAACTTTTAGCAAACTAGGAATAGAGAGGAACTTTTTTTTTTAATGTTTTATTTATTTTTGAAAGAAAGAAAGAATGAGCGGTGGAGCGGCAGAGAGAGAGGGTGACACAGAATCCATGAAGCAGGCTTCAGGCTCTGAGCTGTCAGCACAGAGCCTGACACGGGGCTTGAACCTGTGAGCCACAAGATCATGACCTGAGCTGAAATTGGATGCTTAACCGATTGAGCCACCTAGGCACCCCTAGGTGAACCACTTCTACTTGCCCCCCCCCACCCACCAAAAAAATCTACAAAAACCTACAGCTAATATCATATCTGTGGTAAGAAACTCAAAGCTTTCCCACTAAGGTCAGATACAAGGCAAAGATGTCCCCTCTCATCACTCCTTTTCAACAAAGTACTTGAAGTTCTAGTACAGGAACTATACTTATAGTATAAGAGCTATATGAGGAAAACTACAAAATTCTGATAAATGAAATTTTGAAAAGAAATAAATGGAGAAATATTCCATGTCCATGGATAGGAAGGTTAAGATGTCAGTTCTTCCCAACTTGATCTACAGATTGAATGCAATCCCAGCAACTGGAGTGCCTGGCTGGCTCAGTCAGTGGAGCATGCAACTCTTTATCTCAGGGTTGTAAGTTGGAGTGCCACGTTGGGTATAGAGATTAGTTAAAAATAAAAAATGTCTTAAAAAATTCCAGCAAGTTCTTTTGTGGATATTGAAAAAAAAAAAATGATTCTAAAGTTTATGCGGAGAGGCCAAAGACCCAGAAGAGCCAATACAATATTGAAGGAGAACAAATGATACTACCTGACTTCAAGACTTACAATAAAGCAACAGTAATCAAGACAGTGGTATTGATTATAGAAGTTTGTGGTACTGGCAAAAGAATAAACAGATCAATGAAACAGAATAAGGAGCCCAGAAATACACTGACACAAATACAATCAACTGATCTTTGACAAAGGAGCGCAGTCGATGCAACAGATGGTGTTGGAGCAACTGGACACGTACAGGCCAAAACACAGGAATCCAGACATAGACCTCCTGCCCTTCCCAAGAATTAACTCAAAATATGTGCTGAATGAGCAGAAAGAGTGAAAATACAGAAAATAAGCATTTTATATGAGTAGTGGCTTCAGCACCATCTGTTCTAAAGACCTGAACTGCGTAGAAAAATCTGTGAAGAATCTAAAAATCACTAGTTTTACAGGGAGTAGAAAAAGGTGCTTAAAAATAATAAAGCCAATATACTTACATAATCACAGCACAAGCTATACGTGAGACGAGAGGACTCTGGGCTATACTGAGAGCTCTAAACTTAGAAATAATTATTTTGGCCGAGTTTAGGACTTTTTTTTTTAAGGAAACATTTATTTTTTAAGTTTATTTATTTTCAGAGATAGAGAGCAGGGGAGGGGCAGAGAGAGAATGCCAAGCAGGCTCCCTGCTGTCAGCCTGGAGCCCAAACCAGGCATCGCTCGATCCCAAGAACCGAACCATGAGATCATGACATGAGCCCCAGAGTCTGATGCTTAACCAACTGAATTAGGGTACAGAACCAACGTAACAGAGATTTTTAGTGCTAATAAGGAATATTACCAGCAGGCTTCAAAAACAAGATATTCAAAGAAAGGCACATAAATATTTACTGAATACTTTTTATTTCCCCATCATTCTGTCCACATCGACTCTATACTGGAGCTCAGACAGGATAGGATTCCTAATGATTCCCTGTGGTTTATTTAAAAGAGGATCCTGTGGAAACTGGAGGGGAGACACCACCACTTTCACAAGAAAAATGAGTAGACCCTAGAAAATGTGAGCAGCCATAGAAAATACGCAATGCTGTAAGAGAGATGGATTAAATCAGTAAATATCTATCATTCTATACAACCCACTTTGCAATAATTAATAAAAGCAACAGAGCCTGGAAGCCATGCTGTCAGAACAGAACTTTATTTCATAATAAACGAACATCTGAAACAGAGGAAACAAATACGAGCAAGCATAATGAAAGTAGTGCTCAGGGGGTCATAGCCAAAGAAATTCAAGACAAGAAAACGAAAAACAGATTAAGGATGCAGTTTGCTGCTCCATTTGTTTTTATAGCACAATGGATGTGAAAGGCAATGCAGCCTTTACACTCAGGATTTTTTTTTTAATAAACTCTGGTTTTTAATAACCTGGCACACAACCCTATCTATAATTATCTGTAATTTACTGAAATGTGGAATCTTAAATACAGTATAATGAAAACTAAAACCTCAGAGGAAGAATGTGAAAAAAATACAAATCATAAAAATATGATTATTGCTACAAGGAACTTATAGCTATTTGTAGAGATTAATCTAGAACTGTGTCACATGGATAGAACAGTGGGAAGAAAAAGTTCTGGCCAATCCGGTTGAGTTGAGTGTGATCTAGTTTCTTCAGTCTTCATGCCCCTTCCTCTGGACACATAAATCCTAGAAGGCTGCCTGTTGCTGAGACCTTCCCAAGACAGAAGAGCTCCAAGGTGTCATGCCAAAATGGTAGCCAACCAGGTGACCTTCCGAGGTCCCCTTTTGGGGCTCAGTAACATACATGTTGGGATCAGGACACACAGTGCTCCACGGAAATTCTACCATATATTTCCTAAAGGAGGAAAGACCCATTTCTCGACAGCTTTCCGGAAGGCATCTGTAAAGCACACCAGACTGTCTCGGGGTTCATAGCTTTTTTGCTTCCAGAAAATAAGACGTGCTCCTTCTGGGACCACTACATTAATAAATCCTGAAATAAACTGCACTGAAACTTAGGAGTTTGTTGTCAATAGAATAAAGAAATAAATAAGTGGCAAATTTAAAAACTGAGCAACTTTCCTCCTCTCTCTAGCTGGAGTCTTTACTGGAGGTTGACAGGGGGAGGCAACAGGAAATCATATATCCTGCCCTACTCCTCACGTTGATGTAGAATCTGCCTTTATCGGTCTTTAAGGGGACTGTGACAGCACTGTCCAAATGCGACTGTGAGAGCCCCTTTCTTGGATACAAGAGGCAGGAAAAGGCCTCCTGCTGGGTGCTGCGTATCTACAGCATGCCGGCTGGCCTTGCTCTGTTTAACTGTGGACCTGAACAGGCTCACTGAACTGTTACACAGTGACCCGGACCCTCAAACAGAACACTGTATAACTGTCCAGTGCCTGCATATCAAAGGCCTCAGCGACCTCAGTCTCTGTGCTCATGATACCAACAAAGTCAGTTCCAAGCAATTCGGGGACGTCCGTAGGGCTGAGAAAAGAAAGAAAACAGAAGCCTGATCAGATCAGCAGTCTCTGGAGCACTGGGAATTAATCCCAGCTTAAATAAGAGCTAAAAGCATGGTATAGATGGCTGTTTTCATTTACAACAGAGAAAGCTTTGACCTTAAACCACAAATGAGGTACTTTACTACCTTTTCTAGTAACAGTTCCACAGGTGCTCTGTGAAAGCCTGATCCTGAGGCACTCACTGGTCCACGGTTGAGTTTACAATTAGGGTGAGGCAACAGGAAACCAAATATCCTGTCCTAGGACACACCCCACAACTCCTCACGTTGATGCAGAATCTGACTTTATAGGTCTACTATGGGACTGTGTGTCGCTAAGACCTTCCCAAAACACGAGAGGTCCCAAGTGCCATGCCAAAATGTTAGCCTGCACCTGGAGAGCCCCAGGCAGGCAGGACAAGGCGGCTCTGCAGCAGGTGTAGCACCTGCTCTGTCTCGTCAGCTTCCCAGAGTTATCTGAGTACAGGGGAGCCAGCCTCTTGGCCTCGTAGCACTTCAGAGCACCACGGTGGCCGAGCCGCCCTGGTCAAGGAGGGGCAGACGTGACATGCCTGCTGGGCCCTCCCCCAGCTCTCAGGTGCTTCATCAGTTACCAGCTCCCTGGGAGTAGGGGGACAGCCTTTGCTTCTCTGTGAGTCATGTGCAGGGCCACTCACGTACTTCCAAGGACAGGGAAAGATGGAAGGAGAGAGGATCGGAGAGGGGACGGACAACCAGAGGTACTGAGAGGAAGGGGAGCCAGGCCCCTGTTCGCCCGGGCCCCGCTGTCTGCTCTGTGAGGACCTAGCACCGCTGCTCCTTCACTTCTTCCCCGCCGTGCCAGAGCTCTCAGATGGCTCCTGGTCCCCAACAGGGCCAAATGGCATGCAGCTCAGCAGTCAAGACCTAGAGCAAAATATCCTCCAGGGCTGTCTGAGGCCCAAGCAAGGACTAAAACAGACATGCACGGAGGCTCCCGACGAGTTGAGAAGGGAGAAACACAAAAGAGGCGCGAGGAAGAATCTGACCTGGCCACGGACAGGCCTGGGGCGGGGCCATGGGCAGGCCTGGGACAGCAGAGGCCAGGCTGGGCGCTGGTGGCCCGTCCCCTTCAGACCCCCTACCTTGGGCCAGTAGCCCTGCATGGCCATCTTCTTCGCCTCCTCCTGTAGCTGGGTGTCGGTGAGCTGCTCTGCCTGCCTGGCCTCCTCTTCCTCCTCCTCCTCCTGCTGGTCCTCCTCCCATGCCTGCAGCTGGCGCTCCGCAACCTGGCCGCCAAGAGCAAAGTCACCCGGGACCGAGCTCCCTGGGTGGAGCCCCGCCGTGGGTCACGAAGGGGGGCCTGGGGGTGTACCCCAGCCGGAGTACAAGCGCAGGCACGGTGATGGAAGTGCCCTCAGAGGGAAGGCTGCTTATGAGACTGGAGAGGCTGCACGTGTGGGAATATGCAGCTCGTGAAAAGCTCTGGGTGGGGCCACGTGCTTGGAAGATTACGCGTCCCTACCAACTACCGAACAGAACAGAGGCCAGTGGCCCAGCGCACCACGTGCCAGCGGAGGCGGATAGGAGAGGGAGTTCAGGCAGGCACAGCAGCCTTGCGCCCGCACACACGGAGGACCTGGATGGAGCCGGCACTAAGCAGGAGGGTCGGGGTCTCAGCTGGACATGAAACGGGCGCCCTGAGCTCATGGACACGGTCCTAATGCCCAGCTGTGGAAATATGTCAGGGGTCTCGGCATCCAGTGCCGTAACAGTGCAGGGGCCGCAGCAAGGCCTGCGGCCTGCAGCTCACATCCCCCCTGCGGAGGCTTCCTCCCCGACCAGGCTCAGCCCACCTGGGCCTCCAGCTCCTGTTTCCTGGCCGATTTCAGTTCTTTGCTCTCCTCTTTCTCGCGACGAGCAGACTCTCTGACCTCCTCAAGATTCTGAATAAGTTGCTCCCGGTGTCTCAGGGATTCCTCCTGTGCCCGTCGGTTTTGTTCAAGCTTTTCTTGTATCTGTTGTTGTCTCCCTGTCAGAACCTACCCTCAGCAGGAAGGCAAAGGGCAGATCTCAGTTCGACTTCACAGATCCCTGTTCCATAAGCTGTGGACAGGCTGAGCTGCCCCGAGACCCAGTCTCAGCTTCAGGCCTGAAGGCAAGTCTAGATCACGGTACTGGCAATGGCAGCCCCACTTGCCACCCTGCCCCACCACACACAAAACGCACAGACTACGCGTTAGGGAGAGACAGCTAGGCACTGACAAGATCTGAGGAGGCGGGGCGGAGCTATCTCCCCAGGGCACAGAAACAGAGCAACAAGCTTGTGAGCTTCACTCCCTATCAGTAGGTTCTAGAAAAAGAAAAACCACAAGCCACGCAGATGACCAGAGGTAGACTTTGGCTCATCCCCTCAATATTCTGGATTTAAATTTACTGCTTAGAGTGGCAGAGACCTTGCTGGGCTTGAGACCCAGCCACAGCACAGGATTACACCCAGAGCACGGTCAGGACTCAAGAACCAGGAACGGTGGGAAGCCACCTGCCTTATCCAACAGTTACGCCCCTTGGACAGGACACGTCAAGTGGCCACAACTAGGAGGAACTTTTTTTTCCTGTTCAAAATTTTATTTAAATTCTAGTTAGTTAACATATAGTGTCATATTGGGTTCAGGAGTAGAATTTAGTGATTCATCAATTACTGATCACACCCAGTGCTCAACACGAGAGGAGGAACGTCTTTAATAGGGCAAATCCAAAGGTGCTGCAGAGTATCGGCATTCAGAAGAGGGGCAGGCGACCCACTGGGACTGGACTCCCCACGGATTCCAAAATGACTTGCACAAAATATTTCCATTTTAAGCAACCTTAATTTTCAATACATGGATAATGAAGGATTTTTTTTTAAAAGATTTCTTTAAAAAAGTTTATTAAGTAATCTCCACACCCAACACAATGCTCAAACTCACGACCCCGAGATCAAAAGCCTCACGTCCTAACAAATGATCCACCCAGGCACCCTAAAAGATTTCCTTTTATTTTTGTTTATTTTTTATGTTTTATTTATTTCTGAGAGAGAGAGAGAGACAGCATGAGCAGGGGAGGGTCAGAGAGAGAGGGAGACACAGAATCTGAAGCAGGCTCTAGGCTCTGAGCTAGCTGTCAGCACAGAGCCCGACACAGGGCTCAAACCTACGAACTGTGAGTTCATGACCTGAGCCGAAGTTGGACACTTAACTGACTGAGCCACCCAGGTGCCCCAAAGATTTCCTTTTAAATGGGATATGTCTTAATGCATTACTTAAATACTGACAAGTGTGTTCTTTCAAGAGTCCACTTCTGGTTATGCACCCCAAGGAAAAAAATCCTAAATACGAAAAATGGAAAGCCTTATGAACCAAGATGTTCACTGCAGCGTTTCCTGTAATACCTCAAAATCAGAATAGAAAGAACACCCACAAGAGGGGAGTAGGAAAACAAACCACAGTATACCCACGTGATATATTAAGCGGTCATCAAAATATCTACACAGGAGACGGAATACTGCATTAGAATGCTGGTAACCAACAGACAGTATAATAAGGAATATGCAGAAGGATGTGTTTGCACAGACACAGAGTGGAAGGAAATAAAGTAATGGCGACTGTGCAAATGATGGGGACCTGGGTGACTTTATTCTTACTTCCTATACTCCTGAATTTTCTTCTAAAAAGCTGATACTACTTTCATAATGACATTAAAAGTCTACTTAAAAGGAGTGCCTGGGTGGCTCAGTTGCTTTGGCTCAGGTCATGACCTGGCGGTTCGTGGGTTCGAGCCCTGCATCAGGCTCTGTGCTGTCAGCTGGAAGCCTGGAGCCAACTTCAGATTCTGTGTCTCCCTCTCTCTCTCTGCCCCTCCCTTGCCCATGCTCTCTCTCTCTCTCTCAAGAACATTAAAAAATGTTTTTATTTTATTTTATTTTTTTTTTTAATGTTTTATTTATTTCTGAGAGAGAGAGAGAGAGCATGAACAGGGGAGGGTCAGAGAGAGAGGGAGATACAGAATCTGAAGCAGGCTCCAGGCTCTGAGCTAGCTATCAGCACAGAGCCCTACGCGGGGCTCGAACCCACAAACTGTGAGATCATGACCTGAGTCGAAGCCGGACGCTCAACCAACTGAGCCACCCAGGCGCCCCCCCAAAAAAAATGTTTTTAAATAGGTCTATTTAAAATAAGCAGAGAGGCCTGTTTCCAGAACATTTGGCAGGGTCAGTATGCGCTCGCAGCCAGGATTACCTCGCTCATCAGTCGGTCTCGTGCGCTCCTCTCCCGGGCCCACTCCGCCTCTCTCTTTTCCCACATTTCCTTGGCCTCCTCCCTGGGAACACAGAGCGGATGACAGCAGGCTCCTTGCCACCACCAATGGCAGAAGAGAACTAAAGAAGCGACAGGGCTCCAGCACATCAGGCACACACATGATCTGTGGGGTCAACCTTCAAACCCACTTCACAGCTGACAACTCTGGACGAGCTCAGGGAGAGTCTTCCCACGGGAAGTACTTTAAGTTGCCTGGGTTATGCTCCCATCTCCTTACAAAACGCAACTGTGAGGGCCTGCACCCAGGCCATTTAGACACCTTGGCGAATGAAGCCATCAGGACTCTGGAGAGGCAGAGGAGCCCCATGGTGCCTGAGCTCTGTCACCTTCCTCCTGGGGTCACTGCTGGGTCACCCTGTGGCCTGAGGCAAGTCAGTGACCTCCTCAAGTCCTGGTGACCTTCATACCTACCCCCCGGCTGGACGTCAGGAGTAAATAAAAGGAGGAGGGCAAAGCGCTCTCTGCACAGTGTCTGGCCCACAAGAAATGACCAATAAATGTGACGCGTTATTCAATGTTTTCAATCTACTAGATTTTTAGGATCCAGACCCATTTATAAAAGACCTAAGAAGCATTCAGCATCTCCAGAATTTATAACAATTTCCTTCCAGATTCCTAAGATCTTAAATGAACAGATCCTTACTCTAAACCCTAATGATTTCCACCTTAAATAACTTAAGGGAAACGCCCCTGCAAGCCAGGTCCGCTAGCAAACGTGCTCCTCCCGATGGGCAGATTAACAAGGACAGATGCTTCAGTGACAACAGGAGACTCTCGTGCTGACCTGTGGGGACGTAAGGGACCAGAGCAGAGGCTGGGAGTGTCCAGCCCGGACAGGCGCCATCTCTCACCTCAACAGCAGCTGCAGCTCTGCCTCCCGCTCCCTCTCCAGCTGCAGCTGCTCCTCGATGGCCTGCTTCATCCACGCCGCATCGGCCAGGGCCTGCTCCCGCCTGGCCAGGTGCGCGCGCTGGTTCTCGTCCTCCGTCTCCAGGAGCCCCTGCAGGATACGCTTGTCCGCCTCCTACAGGGTGGAGCAGGAAGTGCAGTGGGTGCCCTTCGGCGGCCACAGCCCTCCTGCCCTTCCCCTCGCCTCCCACAGCACCCCCTTTCTGCACTCAGCACTGACGGCAAACATTCGTGATGCTTCCAGATCTTCCCTAGATGGAGCTGGGAAGAATCAGGGTATAACCACTTAGGAGTGGAATAATGCAGGAGAGGCCCCTTTGCCACCACGTGCATGTCCCTGCCCTTGGACATGCCTGGTAGCACAGCTTTTGAGAACACGGTTGGACAACAGTTTCACTTCTAAGAACATAGACTAGAGACCCAAAGGCACAAAAACATATGCACAAAATGCTCACTGCAGCGGTCCCATGGGGGAAACAGAAAACGACCCAAATACGCATGGGTAGGGAACTGGCTCTAGCGTACATCTCCACAGGGAGGCGCAGTAGAAGAAGAGGGACTGGGGAGGTCCTGCGACGGGAAAACGTACTCAGGAACAGCAGTGGCGTTGCCACCCCGCACCACCCCGACGAGAGCAGGCAGGGACGGAGGCAGGCAGGTTCGCTCATTCACCAGCCCTGTCCCCGTGTCACTGGAGAGCCCACCAACGTGCCTGACAGCCATGCTGAGCAGCCAGTGAGAAAGAACAAGCTCATTCCGAGGGTCTGAGGTTCACTGTCGGGTGAGCGTGCTGAGGGATGCCCCTTTAGTTTTTAAAGAACCCCACCGCCCCCCTCTGTGTGTGCTGGGTAAACATATCTAGAACACACAACAAAGCAGACCCCCCCCGGGGAGGGGTGGGGGGTCCCAGGGCTCATCAAGGGCAAATCTCCCCTGGTGTTTTATTCTTGCAAGAACACACTCGAATGCACTTCCATTACTGAGCAATGGAAAGCATTTTCTTCTAAAAAGGGTGAAAGAAATGCCAGGCTGACTCAGACTTACCAGTTCCTCTTGGATCTGCTGTGCACGCCTATTAAGTTGCACATTATACTGATGTCTCAAAAAACGTCTAGAAATGAGCAAAATACGGGCTGCCTTCAGTGTCTTATGAACAATCAGTAGGGGCCAGACAGCTACTTACTACAGATCTTTTTGGTTTGGGACAGCAGTGCAAGTCTGAGAAAGCACAAGGCTTGCCCGCCCAGGCGCACACACCCCAGCTCTGCCTTCTGCCGGAAGGCTGCCATTTGCTTCCTCTCTTCCTCCAGCCTCTCCAGCTCCCACCGCTGCTTCAGCAGATTCTCCTGCTCCTTCTTCAGTTTGGTGGCCTGTGGTGACAACAGTGCATCCAATTAAGGTAATCGGAATCAGAGCTTCCTTCATTCTTCATGTGTGTGCATTTTCATAAGGTGCCAAGCAATACGGCTGGCCCGGATCAGAGCCCCCTCTCACCTCTGGGCTCTGAGCCCTGAGTCCTTGGCCCAGCTCACTCTCTTCCTACAAGAGCCGTTCCCAACATGTGGACAGGATGAGACCCATGCTCCATGCTCCTACAGGACCCTGTACTTGCCACACCTTCCTATAACTTAACCCTGCCTCCCGCACCTGACACAGGTCCTGCCATGAAGGCCAGGACTGTGGGCCTTGCTCACACCTGTATCTCTACCACCCAGCTCAGTGCTCAGCATCTAGCAGATACTGGGCATTAACGATCTGGTTCCGGAATCATTTGGGCCTAAGGACAGGCTTCCCCTCATCTGAACGGGAAAATCTAGCCCAGGCATCTAGCTCAGGGAAACTGCACAATATTCTCAGAACAGCCTCCTGAACCAAAGACCCTCACAGTTTATGCCTTGAGATCCAAAACATGCTAGCCGGGGAGAGCTGTAGCAGTGTGCTAGAACATCAGACTAAGTCAAGTCTACTTAGTGCACTGGATAATCCAAGTTCCTTTTTTTTTCTTAAATTTTGAGAGAGAACAATGTGAGTTGGGTATAGGGTCAGAAGGGCAGAGAGAGAGAGAGAGAGAGAGAGAAAATCCCAATCAGGCTCCACACTCAGCACAGAGCCTGACATAGGGCTCAATCCCACAACCCGGGATCGTGACCTGAGCCAAAATCAAGAGTTGGACACTCCACCAACAGAGCCACCCAGGTGCCCCAGGAAAATCCAAGTTCTAAGAAGGCTCTCACATAGCCACTCTCAAAGCACACCTAAGAGAATAGGTATTATCTACATATCGTGTACATTCTAGAATCTGCATATACAACCTAGGAGAATGGAAAAACCACAGCTAGGCGGCTAGGAATATATGTCAGAAGGGAAAACCCAGCACTGTTGCATTTCTTAGAGTCACCCCTCCCCCCACATGGTCTTTCTCGTGCAGCTTTCTAATGCCTACTTTATAGTGACAAGCGGCTGCAGGAGAAGTGGCCGTGCCCTCACCTCCATCTCCTTCAGCTTCAGCTCCTCCATCTGCCGGAGCAGCGCCTCAGCCTGGAGTCTGTCCTCCAGCCTCCTCCTCTCCTCTTCTGCTTTCATCCGCTCCAGCGCTTCCCTTTGGGCCTTTTCATATTCGTTTTCATATCGTTTCTTCTCTTCCTTTTGGGTGGCTTCTTGCTACATGGGGCCAGATGAACGCAGGAGGTCAGAATCTGTCACACAGCCAGCAGGAACCCAGTTCCCCGCCGCTGTTCCTCATTCCAATGTGTCTACACCACAGTAGGTCATGCCACTTTTCAGCTGCGTGACCCCGGGTGAGGGTGCATCTTCCCTGGCTCTGTTCTCACGGTGGGAACCATGGGAGTGATCCTTCCCTCAGAGGCAATGCTGGGGAAGTAGCACAGTGCCTGGCACAGAGGAGGGACTCAAGAATGTCGGGGTTCCTTCCCTTCCAAAAGTCAGCAAAATACTCTCTAAAATTAACCCAGAGGCAAAGCTGTGGGTTCGCAGAGGTGTGGCCTTTTGTCCCCAGAGGTGCTGCTGTAAGCCGGGGTTGAGAGTTTATGACGTGTGCTACATCAAGAGACTGCCAGCAGCAGCGACCTTTAAGATGCACCTTCCACCTGCCAGTGGCCGGCCACTGGGGTCATTCTGCCCTGGGGATGATCAGAAAGGGCTCTCGTACATGCAGGAGCAACAGACGTCCACTTGTAATGTGTTAAAGGTAACTGAGATAGTAAAGTCTGTTCCTAGATTGGACCCACTAACATCAAAAACAAGAAAACTTCAGAGACCTGGAGACAGAGCTCTCCCACCACAGCATGGAAGGCTATTTCCAGAGTCAGATACCACACCTGTTTTTTTTCTTCTCTCTGTACTTTCCAAGAGCTTATCACATGCTCCTTGTGAAGGGCTGATTCAATCTGAGGGTGAGAAGGCAGAGAATGTTCATTTCCCCACTGGTTCATCTGACGGATGTACACTGCAGATCATGGTGCCACGCCCTGGCAGGTGACCGGAAGTTCCCTAGGCAAGGACTCAGAGGGGCCCAGGTGTCTTACAAGGGGGCACAAGGTGACCCCAACATATACAGTCTGAACGCACCAAAGGACCAAGTAGTGTGAAACAGATCTGAAGAGCTGTAACAAAGGAACACACGCTTTTCTCCCAGTACCCTCAGGGTCGCAGGAGCAGGTGAGCAGATGCTGAGATGGAAATGCAATCTCAGAGCCAACCTGGTTGGTCTAAAGCATGCCAGGGCCCAGGGCAGCAGGAGCTGGGTGAGGAACTGACTCGGCCTTTTGCCAGGCTCCTCAAAACGTCCTCTGCAAAGCTGTAGCTGTGTAAACATGTACTCCCCATAGCAACAGATGTAACACATTTAGGGTGGTTAGGAAGAGAGATGGGTTTAGCGAATCTGTTGGATCAGAAAATGAGTTGGAACTCTATCCAAAAGCTTTTGTTTGGGAAATTGCTTATAAAATTTTTTAATCTCTTTCTCAACTTACAAATGTAAACATCTGCAACTAACTTGAGTGTTCTAAATAAACACTGCTGACTAAAAGACTTTGGAGCACCCACCTAAACGCTCGAATGGCCAGGGAAAGGAGGCCCTCCCTCCTTGGCTGAATGCTAACTGCACAAGACTCAAAGGCACCAAACTGTTCTATTACTCAGTGGCTGGCAAGTTCTAAGTATAATTACAAATCAATTAAATGCCACCAAACATAGACACAAAATTTAAGTGAAAATACATCAATGAAATCATCACGGATCATTTTCTCTAGCCCAGTCTCCACAGAACAGGGTGCCACCCAAGCCAGACCGCCCCCCATCTGCCCCCAGATCTTGCATATTTGTCCTCCTTTCTCTTGCCACCCTGTTCTGGCCTCCACTGTCACTGCCCTGGCCTCACTCCCTCCTGCCCACCTCCACGCTGCTGCCAAAGCTACCGCTTCCCGAAATGCAACCAGGGTGTCACCGTATCCCTACTTAAAACCATCCAGGTGCTCCCCAGCGCTTCCAGAAGGCCACACAAGGCTGGCCGGGGTCCGGGCCCACCTGCCTTACCAGTCTCAACTCTTGCAGCCTCCGCTCACCATCTGACGTCCTCTCAGCCACTCGTCACTCCCCGAGTGCACTCTGCTCTCGTGACTCCCGCCTGATCCTCGCTCAGCTGCCTCAATCTAGAATGTCCTTTCCTCACCTCTACACCATCAAGTTAACACCAAGTCCTTCCAAACTCCTCCATCCTCGCAGCTCCTCTGAGGTGCCACTCTGACCTACAACTGAGCCGAGGGCACTGCCCCAGTGCCCATCCTCCTGGGCCTGCCCAGCCCACTGCAACCCATACTGAACCATGAGCTGGGGAGGGGGGACCCCATCTAATCTCCACGTGGCAAATGTTCAGTAAGTACTGGCTGAGCACCCAACAAACCAGATCTGCAAGGGGCATCGTTCAGGTGGCTGGGGTGTTCTCTCCTCTGTTCCACCCCAGCAAGAGATGCAAGTTCAAAAACAAGAAGGGAAACGTGATTTCATCTACTTAGGCAAATCAAAGGATCTCATTGGCTTTCACCTCTCGAAGTTTAGGGTTGTTCTTTTTCCAGTGTTCATACAGAAGTTGTTCGGCAATCTGTCAAGAAAACACAGAGGGAAGCCTGATGTCACTTTGCAGATCCATCCACATTTTGGATAACCCACACTGGCGGTCCGCTGAGGCAGAGAGCCCCTCAGCCGGCATGCTGTCACTGCGCCTGCCCTTCAGACCTCCTGCTGCCTCGCACCCCCAGCTCTAGGAGACACCAGAGTGGAACCAGATAGCCCTGACAAATGACTCCCACAGTAGTGATGGACGGATGCCAAGATTTGATGCTACAGATGGGTCCCAGATGTGACAATCTGCTTCAAAATATACAGCAGGCTTAAATACACAGACTGGGGCTCCCCATTCCCCACAGCCACTTGGAAGATCAAAGACACCAGTGCGCAGCCCGGTGGGGCCACAGGACTGACATAAAGACAAAGGACTCGGATGTAACGACATGAGGTGACTCGCGTAAAGCACATGTGAAGAACACCGTGGCACAGAGTACCTCTCCCTGCTGGCCCTGGAGTTAACTGTTGTCTCATCAGACCAGCGTGCCCAGGGCGACCCCGCATGTGTGGCACTGAGGGGTTGGGGACACTCCCGCCCCGTAGGCTCCTGAAGGGCTAGAGAAGTTACCAGCTTCCTCTGCTCTTCTCGGGCCGACCTGAGATCGCCATGCCGCTCCCGGATTCGGCCTTCCCGCGCATCCATGCTTAGCCTTAGCTCCTCCACTTCTTTGGCCAGCAGGGCCTGCTCCTCCAGGAGCAGCTGCCTCAGTCTCTCCCGCCTGGCTTCCAGCTGCTTCCGCTTCTCCTCCTTCATCTTCTCACGCTGATAGGCATGCATGCTGGGTGAGAAGGAGCCCTCCCCACATCAGTCATGCTACAGCCACACGTGGCACGCTCTGCTCTGCTGTGCGGTAAAAGAGGCTGAGGTGGACATGACGTGGTGACACGGTAAAGTGTCTTCCGGCTAAAGTGAAGACAGCAGGTCACAGACCACTATGCGTCACAGAATCTTGTTTTTGCCATAAGAAAAGGTACAGTGGTGGGTGCCTGGGCGGCTCAGTCGGCCAAGCATCCGACTTCAGCTCAGGTCATGATCTCCCTCTCTCTGCCCCTCCCCTGCTTGCACACTCTCTCTCTCTCTCTCAAAAATAATAAACTAAAAAAAAAAAGAAAAGATAAAGAAAATGTACAGTGGGCTCATATATGCATGTGATAACAGTATTAATATTACTTGAGCAATTACTATGTACCAGGTACTCTATATAGGGATAGCTTTCTATTACTCATACATCCTACAAAGTAGGTTCTGTTTTAGCCCCACTTCACTGATGAGGAAACTGAGGCTCATTCATACAGCAAGTGACACAGTCAGGATTTCCATCTAGGTCTGTCTGACTCCAAAGCCTATGCTTTTAACTTTCATGTTTTTTACGTGTATTTCTGCAAAAATGGATATATGTGTGTATGAATATTTATCACACATGGGGAAAAGTACGGGAGGACACGTGCATCAGACTGTTCCTTGTGATTCTTTCTGGGGACACAGGGTTACAAGGACACTTACAGATTCTACACATATTTCTTCTTGTTTTCCCCTTTTCAATGCAAATGTATTATTCACTGATGATCTTTTTTTTTTTTGTTTTCAGTTGGAAAACATCACCATGCCTGTCATCTATGCAACTTCCTCAAGAAAACATGCTGTTTAGCCACGGGGTTCTTAGAGCCACATCCCCCTGACCAACACGTGGCTTCCTGCCTCCAGTCCATCAAGGCCACTGCAGTTACCTCCGCTGGTAGGACGTCTTGGAGCTCCATTCCGCCTGCTTGGAGCTACAGATATCAGACATCCGGAAGTAGTGACTGTTCTGGTCCCACTGCTGCCGAAGCCGGGCCTGCTGCTCTCGGTGTCGCTGTCGGGCCGCCTGCTGGTCCAGGAGCCTCCGGCTGCACCAGTGGAAGGGCAGCGTGGGGAGTGCCATCTGAGAACAGCAATGGTAGGAAAATGAGCCTGCTGCAGCCCCCTAATGAGGGGTCCACAGCCCTTGGCTGCCCCCTGAAATCACCCCACTCCAGACCAGTAACATCAAAGAGGTGTTAGCACAGGTTCCCAGGCATCAGCATTTTTAAAAATTTTATTTGTTTAAGTAACCTCTACACCCACCATGGGCTCGAACTCACAACCCTGAGATCAAGAATCGCATGCTCTTCCACCTGAGCCAGCCAGGTGCCCCAGGCATCAGCATTTTAAAAATCATTTGCCGAGGCGCCTGGGTGGCTCAGTTCGTTAAGCGTCCAACTTCAGCTCAGATCATGATCTCACGGTTCGTGGGTTCGAGTCCCACGTCAGGCTCTGTGCTGACAGCTCAGAGCCTGGAGCCTGTTTCAGATTCTGTGTCTCCCCCTCTCTCTGACTCTCCCCTGCTCATGCTGTCTCTCTCTTTCTTTCTCAGAAATAAATTTTAAAAAACATTAAAAACATTTAAAAATCATTTGCCATCAAGGCTGCAAATCATCACTTTGTTGTTTAATTTTTTTTTTAGAGAGAGAAAAAGCGTGAGTGGGGGAGGGGCAGAGGGAAAGAGAGCAAGAATCTCAAGCAGACTCCATTCTCAGCACGGTTGTCCATCCCACAACCCTGGGGTCATGACCTGACTGAAATCAACAGTCAGATGCTCAACTGACTGAGTCACCCAGACACCCCTGCAAAGCACCATTTTAAATATGCCTGGGCTCCACTCAACTGTGAGCCAGACATCAAGGGCTCTGCAGATGAAGACTAGAAACCAGTCCTAGCAATGCTGGCCCAAGCACTTGGGGCCTTCTATGCTCCCCACAGAGTAACAGGGATAATAATTGCAGGAACACGTGTATGTGGCAAGCTCTTGACATATATGATCTTTCTCATTGTTACAATCACCCCATTATTTGGCAAGAGAGGAAACTTAAGTTCAAAATGGTAAAGTGACTTGCCCAAGACCACGGAGCCAGGAGGAGAGGAAATAAGAGAGCTGGAATCCTAGTTCATGTCAGCCTCAGACCAGGGCCCAGGCAAGAGGCTGCCTGTTGGGACCCACAAGCCCTGGCTCTGGCAGCCCCCAGGGGGGTGGTCTCGCCTGGTTGTCATACCTGGAGAGGGATTAGCATGGAGGGCACTTCCCTCATCTTACAGATGGAGAAACTGAGATCCAGGGAGAAATCGATCTCCCCGGATCGCGGAGCAACATAGGGCCACAACTGGAGATTTGAAAGCAGAGAGCAGTCGTACTTCCTACGCCTTCTTCCCTGACCCTAGAGCTGCCCTCCCGGGCAGGTCTACACTGTGTCTAGCTACGACAGTGCTAACGGAACGTCTGTGTGGGTCCAAGCCAAGCCTCAAACTCCGTGCTCAGACCTGGGGGAAGATAATCTACGTCTATGGACCAAATGTGGCCCGCGGCTGCCCGCTTATAGCCTGTGTTGAACTCGTGGCGCGCCTGACATAATTTTTTCCTTGCCCTGCAAGCCGCCCGCGGAAAAGCTTTCCACCGGGAATTAAGAAAAAAGACTCTGGTCCCGCATCTATCGCAACCTTCACGCAGCCTTAACATCCCCGTGCGACAAAAGGGGTTGCAGAGCAAAGCGTCCGACCCAAAGGGCGCAGGGAGCAGAGTGGGGACGCGACGGCGGGTCCCCGGCGCCCGCCCCGGTTCCCGCCATCAGGGCCACGGCGGCCGGGCTCCGCGGGTCCCGGCCCCTACACCGGCACCGGCCGAGCCTAACGCCCGACTCACGTTTCTCCGCGCCCCGGAGTTCCCGAAGAGTCCCCTCGCCGAGCTCCCGCATGCCCCAACCAAGCCCGATCGCTCCCGCGCCCACGCTCCCGGGACGGCGCTGGACCAACTCCGGCAGTTTCGCCGCTCGTTGCCGGGACAACGGACCGACGACGGAGCGCCGCGAGGGCCAAGCCGCCTCCAAAGCGATACCGGCGGCGCAGACAGAAAGGAGGTTGTGATTTTTCTCCGGCGCCCTCTCACGGGGGGGCGGGAGATCTATCACAAACGTCGCTCGGCCCGGAAACCGGGAAGGAGGAGGGTAAAGGCGTGCAGTCACTAGCACGCAAAATCAGGGTGGTGGTTACCTGGAGTGTGTATGTTGGGGGGCGGGAGGCGAGGGAAGGGGGGATGAAGGTGAGAGTGGGGGGAGTCGGGAGGATAAGATAGAGGTGGAGACCATAAGTCAGTGGCTCTCAAACCTGGCTGCACACGAGAATCACCTGGAGGGCTTAAAGCTTAGATGCCGATAAGGAAGAAAAAGTAAGTGCAGACGCCCAGACGAGTTCCATCATGTTCTCAGGGTGTCAGAGGTGGTCTCAGCTCCCCAGGCGCACTCACTGTGCAACCGGCTCGGAGAACCGCTGGCCTAAATAGATACAAGTTCCTGGAAACTATTGTCTTTCGCTTGGTGGTGGGTCTCAGAGGATTGGTTCTATTGGTATTTTCTGACCCACATGTGTTACACGTATTATTTTATATATGAAGAAGATAATTAAGGGGCACCTAGAGCTCATGACGCTTCAGGGTCGTGAGTTCAAGCCCCACGTTGGGCATACTTAGTTTAAAAATTTTTTTTTTATTTTTTAAATAAGTTTACAAAAAAAACACATAATAAACCTCACTCATTCATCTTCTTTTCTTTCATTTCCCATTCTTCATATTTGATTCCCTTCATTCCTCCCTTCATTCTTATTCATTTGTCTGTTTTTTTCTGGGTGCAGTGAAGTATCCAGTTGAACACTCTGGCCTCTGTTCCAGTCTCCGCCAAGCTAGTTGTGGGGTCTTGGGCAGGTCACTTCATCTCTCTGTGAAACGAGAATATGAAAGTAATTGAACAGGGAGACCAATAGATGAGGACAGCCCTGACGCCTTGTTAGCCTAGCAAGCAAACCAAAACCTAAGCCAGAATCAAGGCTCTAAAATCTGAGAAAATTAACGTTTATTCATTTTTGAGAAAGAGAGCGTACGCACAAGTGGGGGCAGGGCAGAGAGAGAGAGGGAGACACAGAATCTGAAGCAAGCTCCAGTCTCTGAGCTGTCAGCACAGAGCCTGACACAGGACTCGAACTCACAGACCGTTAGATGATGACCTGAGCTGAAACTGGACCCTTAACTGACTGAGCCACCCAGGTGCCCCTAGAATCTGAGAAAATTAAATGTAAGGACGACCAATCACAAACAGCCACCTAGCCTTCCCAGATAAAACAACTGCTTAAGTGGTAGCCAATAAAATTATTTCCTTGCTTTGCTTCCTCATCTTCCTTTATAAAGAAAGGTCTCCCTCAGCTCCTGCCTGGTGGTGGAGGGCTCCTATCTCCTCTTGGTTTGGCATCACCCAGTTAAAATTGACATATGCCCAAATAAACTGAAAACTTTGAACGTGCTTCAGTTTACCCTTGAATAAGAACAACAGCAGTGCTGTTGTTGAAGGTTGGCCCTGTGAGACAAAATGAAGTTTCGGTGGAGAGGACCTGGTGCATCTCAGTAAGTATTCTTTCTATACGTCTCCCGTTACTTAGTCGACTCAGGGTCTGCATGACATTCCCCAGGGATACCCTTCTGTTGGTCCCTACCCCTTTGGCCAAGCTCACGGTCACTCTTCCATATCGTATCCCCAATGGGCTGGGGAGGCAGCTACCCACTGGGGTCAGCAAAAGAGCCCAAGACATAAATGCTTATTGGTGGGTCTCTGCCAATATGGTAGGAACTTCAGAAATCTGTGAATTGGGTACGGGGAGACCTGGCCTCGGGTCCTGATTTTGTGAGTCCCCTTTGTGACCTGGTCCTCAGTTTTCTTATCTGTGTGATATGGCCTTAAAGGATCAAACAAGCTCTGCCAGTGAGACTCCAGGGCCTAGGCTTGACTAGCCTGGTCCCCAGGCCCTGCTCTCTGGGCCTCTTCTGCTCAATAGTCATCCCCACCGGCCCCCACTTAGTCAACCTCCACCCTCGTGATTACACAGCTCCCTGTAGCTGCTTATAGCTCATTAAGCATCTTTATTATAAGTATCTTTTCCTTTGATCCTCCCAGGACCCCTTGAGATATTTTATTATTCCCATTTAATTTTTTTAAGATTTTATTTTTTTACACCCAACGGTGGGGCTCAAACTCACAACCCCAAGATCAAGAGTCTCATGCTCCACCGACTAAACCAGCCAGGTGCCCTTTATTGTCCCCATTTTATTTATTTATTTATTTTTTTTTTTTTTAAATGTTTTATTTATTTCTAGGACAGAGAGAGAGAGAGACAGCGTGAGCAGGGGAGGTCAGAGAGAGAGGGAGTCACAGACTGAAACAGGCTCCAGGCTCTGAGCTGGCAGTCAGCACAGAGCCCGAAGCGGGGCTCGAACCCACGAACCGCGAGATCATGACCCAAGCGAAAGTCGGACGCTTAACCGACTAAGCCACCCAGGCGCCCCTATTGTCCCCATTTTAAAGTTGTCTAAACTGAGCTTCAGAAAGTGGAATCCCTTACGGGGCGGGGGTGGGGGGGTGGGGAGGTGCTCTGTCTGACTTCGGAGCTGAGGCTTCCCTGCTATCGTCTTGGCACCCAGCACAGGGTAGGCGCACCATATTTGTTGAGAATGAAGGAGTAGATGCCCTGCTTTTGAATCCCTTCTTCTTCAAAAGGAGAGGTGCCCGGGTGGATCAGTCAGTTAAGCAAGCATCCAACTCTTGGTTTCGGCTCAGGTCACGATTTCACGGTTAGTGAATGTGAGCCCCGAATCAGACTCTGCGCTGGTAGTGCAGAGCCTGTTTGGGATTCTCTCTCACTCTCTTTCTCTCGCTCTCTCTGCCCCTCCCCTGTTTGTGATCTCTCTCTCTCTCTCTCTCTGAAATAAATAAACTTTTAGAAAAAGGTGAGGGGAAGCGTGATGTCAAAAGGAAGCAAAAAGAAAGACAAAATGGAACTCACATTATTGGAATACCATGTGCCAGATGCTTGGGGATGTATTCCCTCCTTGAAGCCTCCCTCCCGCCTGTGGGAGTCCTGTCTCCATTCTGTATCCTGGACCCTGGAGAAGTCAAGCCACTCTCTTGAGGTCACGCAGCAAGGACTATGAAAGCCAGGATTTCCAGGCAACCCCCAGAGCTTATGATGGCCTTTCAGATGCTTTTCCAGGAGCCTGTGACTTGCAGGTGTAGCTCTAAGAGGCCAGCAGATGTGGACCAGCTGGGCCATTTAAGGAGTTCAACAATATTAAATATTTAGTGACAGGTTGATGACTATGGCCCACAGGGGGCTGAGAGGGGAAGTCCAGGCAGGTGGATGGCACACACGCTGGGCCCTGGGCCAGCACAGTGCGGAGGGCTGTCCTTGGACTTGTGCCTCCGGGTGTCCCAACAAGTCAGGAGAAAACAGGACCCGGGACATGGCATGGACACATGGGAGCAGCTCCCCGTTGGCCAAAACGTGACAGCGCTGGAGGCCATGCTGTGCCCTCCCTTAATTAGCAGGTGTCATTGCCAAGGTGCACATGGGTCTGTGGTGGGGTTTCACGGAATTTCAACATCAGCCACTTAGGCTGCTCTCTTCTCACTTGGGCTGGGCTTCCCATCCTCCCAGATGCTGAAGTAGACCGGCAGCTCAGAGACCCTGGGGTTAAGGGGCTGCCTGCCGGAGCCCCAGTTTTGTGTTTTAATAATAACAACAACAGGAATAATCATAACGTAGGTCTCTATGAGAAAACAAAAGTGCAAAAAAGCATTCACCAGAAACAGTGGATATCACTAGGGGCCAGGATTCAGGGTGATTTGAATTTTTATTTCTCTCCAGGTTTTTAAATTTATGATGGTTGCTGTTACTTGTGTAATTAAAAAAATAAGGTATTGGTTGGTTAATCGTAACAACCTGCACTTCCATCGTGCTTTAGACTTTATGAGGTACTTTCAATGCATGAGTGGCTCTCAGCCTTCACTGCAGGTCTGGATCCTCATGCTTAATCCTGGAGACAGAGGTTCTGATGTAATTGGTCAGGGAGGGGGCTGCACATCTGTATTCTTCCCCATTTTTGGTAGTTTATCCCTTTAATTAAAAAGTTTTGGGGGGGCACCTGGGGGCTCAGATGGTTAAGTGCTGGACTTCGGCTCAGGTCATGATCTTGAGGTTTGTGGGTTTGAGCCCCACATTGGGCTCTGTGCTGACAGCTCAGAGCCTGGAGCCTGCTTCAGATTCTGTGTCTTCGTCTCTCTGCTCCTCCCCTGCTTACTCTCTCTCTCTCAAAAATAAGCATTGAAAAAACAGTTTCGGGGCACCTAGGTGGCTCAGTCATTTGAATGTCCTATGCTTGAGTTCAAGTCAGGTCATGATCCAAGGGTCGTGGGATTGAGCCCAGAGTCGGGCTCCGCACTGAGCAGGAAGCCTGCTTGGGATTCTCTCTGTCTCTTCCTCTGCCCCTCTCCTCCTCTCGCATTTTTACTCTCTCTCTAAAATAAAAAGTGTATCAAAAATAAAAAGAAATAAAAATTTTTAATGTTTATTTATTTTTGAAAAACAAGCACAAGCGGAGTGGGGATAGAGGAGGGCAGGCAGAGGATCTGAAGTGGATTCTGTGCTGACAACTGAGAGCCCAGTGTGGGGGCTCAAACTCACAGACCGTGAGATCATGACCTGAACCTAAGTCGGACGCTCAGCCGACTGAGCCACCCAGGTGCCCATAAATTCAAAAAGTTTTAATTGAAGTATGGCCGATACAGAATATCATGTTAGTTTCAGGTGTACAGCATAGCTCCAGGATTGGTATATGTAAAGAAATGCTCACCACAATGAGTGTAGTCCCCATCTGTTGCCAAAGTTATTACGATTATATTCCCTTTGTGTACTTATCATCCCTGTGACTGACTTATTTAACTGGAAG